AATAATGAGAGTAGTGATACCAGGAGAGAAAGGGAGAACCTATCACAATGATCAACATATAACCTCCTCCCTGGGGGACAGACAATAGAAAAGTGGGTGAAGGGAGAAATCGGTCAGTGTAAGACATGAAAAAATAATAATATAAAAATTGTCAAGGGTTCGTAAGAGAGGGAGAGTGGGGGAGGGAGGGGGAAAATGAAGAGCTGATAGCAGGGGCTCAAGTAGAAAGAAAATGTTTTGAAAATGTACAAATGTGTTTGACACAATGGATGTATGTATGGATTATTATAAGAGTTGTATGAACCCCCAATAAAATGATTTTTAAAAAAAATAAGATTGATTAATCCCAATTAACATGAAAATTTGCATGTTTTTCTGAAAAAATAAAGGAACTTGACTTCCACGGTGGATAAGAGACGTGACTTTTAAAAACCTAACATATAGAAAGTAGTCTGCAGCCCTAACCCTAGCTCTTTTGACTTCAGGTACCTCTGGCAGGTCCTTCGGCGTCTTTGATCCCAGTTTGCATCCACTGAGAGAAGGAGATGGGCTAATCTTGGGTCTCACGCTGGAGGCCACTGAGCTGGAGAAGCAGGGGAGTAATAGAAGGACCAGGACACTGTGAACATGGGAGCCCCGGGCTCCCTTCCTTTCTTCTCTCCTTGCTTTATCTAGTAGAGGTATCTATGGGATGTTAGAGGTGCCCTGATGGCATAGCGATTACACATTAGCCTGTGATCTGGATGGTAGGCAGTTCAAAACCAACAGTATAAACAGTTACAAGGAAGTCACTATAATTCGGCATTGACACGATAGCACTGAGTTTGATTAGTTTATCAGATATTAATCAGACTCTCCTGCTTAAAAATGATAAGCACAAAATTTGAAAATGACTGCACTGAATAAAGGTTGTCTAGAAGCTCCGATACAATAAGTCAGGGATGAGACCGAAGTACCTACTTCTTTTAACCTTTTCTTAACCTGTAGGAGATACACAGGCCACCGACATTTTCTGCTAATGGCTTATATTGAAGGAATGGTTGTGATACTGTGAGGTAAACATTGGATTTCATACCTATAAGTTCAGTGGTTCAAATCCATCCACTGCTCCACGGGAGAAAGATGAAGCTTTAAGCTCTCATAAAGAGTTACAGTCTCCGAGACCCTAAGGGACAGTTCTTGTTATTGGGTTCCCTCGAGTCAGTTCTGGCCCATAGTGACCCTATCTATGCCCAACAGAACAAAACACTGCCCCTCCCTGGGCCATCCTCGCAGGTGCTCTTGTGCTTGAGCCCATTGTTGCCGCCGCCATCGATCCATCCCCTGAGGGTCTTCCTCTCTTTAACCGCCCCTCCACATCACCAGGTACGATGTCTTCTCAAGGCATTGGTTTCAGTCCAAAATATATGAGGAAATCTCTATCCTTGCCTCTAAGGAGCACTCTGGTTTGGAATAAGGAGACAGTTCATGGTATTTTCAATATTCTTTCCCAGAACCACAATCCAAATGCATCCATTATTCTTCCGTCTTCTTTATTCAGTGTCCAACTTGCACATATATATAAGGAGATGGAAAATACCATAGCTTGGGTCAGGCACACCTTCGTCCTCAAAGTAACATCTTTGCTTTTCAATACTCTAAAGAGGTCCTGTGCAGAAGATTTTTCCAGTGCAATTCATCTTTTACTCTCTTGACTGCTGCTTCTGAGAGCATGGATTGTGGATCCAAGTAAGACAGAATCACTGACAACCTCAACCTTTTCTCCATTTATCATGCGGCTACCTATGGGTCTAGTTGTGAGGATTTGGGTCTTCTTGACACTGAGTTGTAACCGGTACTGAAGGCTGCAATCCTTGATCTTCATCAGCAAGTGCTTCAAGGCCTCCTCACTTTCAGCAAGCAAGGTTGTTTTATTTGCATATCTTGAGTTATTAATAAGCCTTCCTCCAATGCTGATGCCACATTCTTCCTCATATAAGCCAGCTTCTCTGATTATTCGTTCAGCAGAAAGATTTAACAAGTACGATGAGAGAATACAACCTTTATGCACACCTTTTCTGATTTCAATCTATGCAGTGTCCC